GCATGCCTGTAGCCACAGCGACTTGGCTGACTAATATAGCAAGACCCTTTCTTAAAAAAAAGAAAAAAGGGATCAGCAGATGGCATAGCAGTTATGTCCCTGGACACTAACATGGCCAACCGCAGTTTGAGTCCCAGAGTCAGTGGCTTAAAAATCACACCACACACATGCGTGTGCATGTCCAACATCCAGAGAGGAGAAGGGACTGTGGCGAGGCCATCCCTCCTGGGGGTGATTTTTCACTTTCCCTCTTACTATGTCTCTCTCTCTCTCTCTCTCCAGCAAGTGCACGTACCATAAAGCAAAGATCTCTAAAGAAAAAAAAGAAAAAATTAAACAGAATTACCCTAAGATCTAGCAATTCCAGTCCTAGGTATATACCTTAAAGGATTAACAACAAAGACTTAAAAATCTATTTCTACCCTCGTGTTCACAGCAGCATTATTCACAATAGCCAAAAGGCAGAACAGTGTAAGCGTCCACACATGGATGAACACAGAACTCCATGTGGGCTCCCCATATAACGGGTATTATTTAGTCTTAAAAATGTTGACACACGGTACGCCCTGCATGGCCTTCATGACATGATGCTAAGTGAAAGTCACCAATCATAAAAGGACAAACGGAACACAGTCCCACTTACATGAGGTCTCTGGAGAAGCCAAGTCCCGCGGCCGGTGAAAAGGGACCCTCCATTATCCCCGCCCACTGCATGGCTTTGGCTATGACAGCCGGGCAGGATGGTCTCGCTGGTCCGACGATGGCCGGTGGCCGCACCCGGGCCACCAGTCACACTACCTTGGGCATTTTCCTAGGGTAAGGACAGGCAGCAGTGCTTCCCTCCGTTTGAAAGACTGAAGACAATAAGCCCAGGGCTACCTGGGCCAGTACTCCAACCTCAAGGGACCAACAGCTTCAGAAATAAAGAAAACTCACAAAGTAAAACCCAACCACGGCCTCCCGGGATCTGACACAAGGCGGGAGACTCCCCTCGAAGAAGAACGTGACTGGGTCTCTCCAGTTCTTTCAACTGTGGGGAAGTTCTGACCGACGGGAATCTCCTGACGTCATGTTCATGGCACCTTCACTCGCTTCAGTCATTTACATCCCCACTGTAAATCCCGCTGTGACGGTGAAACTACAAATAACCCCGAACACTTACATTCTATGCCCACGCGTGGCCAAAGCAGCACTCGGAAACTCTGCGTAACCGCCGTTTCGTTTGGCCTTTCTAGACTGATTTTTTAGATAGTCATCATTTTTACCACGCCGATTATCTCCACGAAATCTCAAGGTTCATCGACAGCAGCTGAAAAGATTACCTCCTCACACGTCACCTCTCTGCATCCATCTTCTGTCAGGTCACCTCCTCCTTCTATATCCTGGCTTCCGAGCAAGGAGACTTCTTCCTCGCTGTCTTTCCTCACCAGCGTGTAACTAATCTAATGACCGAAAGAACGGGATCACAAGGTTGTGACAAACCAGAACTCCACAGTTCCTGTGTTTCTCCGAACAACTCAGCGGGAATAAAAAAGTTCTTTCAAAGAAAGTAAGCATTTCCTATCCATTAGGATAGCTATCATTCAAAAAAAAATTTTTTTAATTAAAAAGTAAACTAGAAAGTAACAAGCATTGGTACAGATGTGGGGAAGGCAGAAGCCTAGCGCATGGTGGGGATGGCAAACGGTGCAGCCCTTAGAAAACAGCGCAGAGGCCCAGTCATGTGGCGCACACTGACCGATGCTGCGATTCGGTTCCAGGCTGAAGCCACTTGGGAGGCCCAGGTTCAATTGCCAGCCCTCCCTAAAAGCCTGGCATGGTGGTGCATGCCTGTAGCCACAGCGACTTGGCAGACTAATATAGACCCTTTCTTAAAAAAAAGAAAAAAGGGATCAGCAGATGGCATAGCAGTTATGTCCCTGGACACTGACATGGCCAACCGCAGTTTGAGTCCCAGAGTCAGTGGCTTAAAAATCACACCACACACATGCGTGTGCATGTCCAACATCCAGAGAGGAGAAGGGACTGGGGCGAGGCCATCCCTCCTGGGGGTGATTTTTCACTTTCCCTCTTACTATGTCTCTCTCTCTCTCTCTCTCCAGCAAGTGCACGTACCATAAAGCAAAGATCTCTAAAGAAAAAAAAGAAAAAATTAAACAGAATTACCCTAAGATCTAGCAATTCCAGTCCTAGGTATATACCTTAAAGGATTAACAACAAAGACTTAAAAATCTATTTCTACCCTCGTGTTCACAGCAGCATTATTCACAATAGCCAAAAGGCAGAACAGTGTAAGCGTCCACACATGGATGAACACAGAACTCCATGTGGGCTCCCCATATAACGGGTATTATTTAGTCTTAAAAATGTTGACACACGGTACGCCCTGCATGGCCTTCATGACATGATGCTAAGTGAAAGTCACCAATCATAAAAGGACAAACGGAACACAGTCCCACTTACATGAGGTCTCTGGAGAAGCCAAGTTCACAGAGACCGACAGGAGAGTGAGGAGGGCTGGGAAGTGCCTAATGGGGACAGAGTTTTGGGGGAGGTTTTGTCTGTTTGTTTTTAGGTTTTTGCCATAGGGCACATGTGCCTGCCAGAGACAGAGAAGGGAAAAGTATGGAATCACCCCTCCAGGGATGGCCACGTTGCAATCCCTTCTCTTCCATGCTTTTCCTGGGCACAGATGCACACCCAGACAGTGTGATTTTCAAGCCGCCGGGTCCAGCACTCACCCTGCAAAGTTGGTCATGGGAGATCTAGCGCTTTAACCACCACACCACCTGCTGGCCTCGTATTTACATAAACACTGCAAAGGGGAAACTCAGCGGTGAGAACATGGACGAAAGCTTTCCAATTCTGACAGGCCGTCCTGGAGGACTAGCTGCCCTCCTGCTGGGCGCGCCGCTCACTCCAGGGCCCGCTCCCACGTCCCGCACAGCAGGCTCTTCGCTAAGCTTCTGCAGAACGGACGACATCAGGATCGAATGAAGGAAGCCTTGGCTTTTCAGTCGGGAGACCAGCACCCACAAAAGGTGTTTCCTCCCCCAGTCTTTGGATAACCAAAGGAGACTCTGCTCACACAAATGTGTGTCCAAACCCGCACTCACCCGGCTCACCCCGAAGCAGCTGCGCCCGTTGTGGAGCCACAGCAGAAAGAGCGGCTTTCCCAAGAAGAGCACGGGGACGGACAGGACGGTGATGGCTAGCAGCACGCGCTGGATGTGCTCCTGTGGGTGCGGAGGGGACCCGTTAAAACGCAGGCGGCCAGCGGTCTCCACGGTGCTTGATAAACAAGGAGACCACCAGCAACACGAACCCAGTTCTGTGGGCCACTGGACTCTCTTTCTGAACTCTTAGCTGAATTCTAGAACTGACAGCAACATTAATGATGCAGTGGTTAAATATTACTTTTAGACCAGTAAGAAAAGTTAGGGACGTTCTAGATAGAAGTCGAGCGAGCTAACCCGTCTCAGACAGAACTGCAAATAGAAGCGCAAATGCAAGAATACTTACTTATTTATAGTCTTGGTTCATCTGGGGGCTTGTTAAAAAATTATTATAATCAGGGGTGGCAGGTGGCGTGGTGATTAGGGTTAGTGTGGAGGTTAAGGTGACGGACCCCACAAGGCCAACTCTGTGGTCTGAGTCCCAGATCCAGTGGCTTGAAAAACACACCAGGCACATATGTGTGCATGCCCAAAATCCCAAGAGGAGTGCAGAGGAGAAGGGACTGCAGTGTGGCCACCCCTTGGGAAGTGATTTCTCACTTTCCTTCTCACTGTTTCTGTCTGTCCTCTCAGGCATGTACACATACCCTATGGCAAAAATCCAAAAACCCCACAACATAGACTTTATACATTCTCTGTACATAATATATATATTACATGTATCATATACATATCTCACAAAATCAAGGCTCAGGAGGAACACAGGTCCTGACACTTAGGTCTGCGAGTCTGTCTGTCTGTCCTCACAGATACCCATGACACGCCAGGTGGCGTCTTTACTGTGCTCCTTCAGCAGGGGATGCTGAGCCACTTGCCGCCACCTGAAGACCCTCCACGTAAACTGAGAGCTACCGGCTCACGAGGAACCATCCATGCCAGGCGCTGTTTGGGCACTGGGACCCAGAGCTCTACACAGAACTGGGTCCTACTCTTAGCCCTGGCTTACGGGTCAGGACACCGAGGCGGAGAAGCTAAGCTGAGCAATCTTGCCAAAGGTCTATCAGGAACAAATGGCAGAGCTGGACTCCAAGGAAGGGATCCGCCTGTGAGGCCCACGCTGACATCACAGAAAGGCGCGTGGACGGAGAAGCCACATCTAGAGGCCAGGCATTTTGAAGGCACCCAGGCACAGCCTCGCCGCCATCAGGAGCCCTCCAACAGCACTCGGTCTCCCGCAGCTCTGGCAGTGAGCATGCCGGGAGAGCGGCTACGCGGCCAGTGCTCGGAGCAGGACGGCTCGGCCTGGGGTGACACACACAGAAAAGGGCCTCCTGAGAGCCTCGGGGCGTGGGGGCGGGAACCCCGACTCGTTCTCCTCCTGGGGACGGAAAGGCTACCCTGTGACCTTCGACCTTCGTGAGGGTGGGAAAGACGACCCACCTGCCCTGGGTAAAGACCCTTGGTTCCACTGGCCGGGAACAGAAACATGTTAATGAACTCGATCAGGATGCTGGGAGCGACTCTGGAGGTTTCTGCGGAAAACACCAGCCACTTGTAGACGATCATGAATATCAGGTAGCCGAAGATGCAGAGCATGAAGAGAAGCTCCGGGATGGAGACCAAGTAGATATTGAACTTCTTCCTGAAGTGCCTAGAAGAGGAAAGCTTCCATCAGCCTGTGACCACAGGCAGTCGTGGGCAAAGGGCAAGCTAATCTGCAAACGTGTGACCTAATAAAATAAGTACAGGGGCCTATTTCATACCTCACTTGTCTTGTGGTTCAGGCTAGTATTTCAGACACAGGGAAATTCAAAAAGTTGGTGGGAAAATGGAAATAAAATAAGCGTTTATTTTGGTGTGAAAAAAATGTGAAAGCCATACACAGCTTTTTTTCATAATAGGCACTTTCATGAACCTTTTGAATACCCCGTACATATCCAAGAAGAAAAGAGCTGAGTTCAATAAAAATGACAAGAGCTTTTGTGATCACTTCCCCGAACAATCTTCGATTGCTTTATTTGGAAACATGTCTCTCCCTGGAACCAGGAGATGGCATAATGGTTACATCGCTGGACTCCCACATGGCCAACCACAGCTTGAGTCCCAGACCCACTCTCACAGGCGCGTGTGCGTGTGTGCCCAAGATCCCAAGAGGAGAATGGAGGAGAAGGGATTGCGGTGTGGCCATCCCTCCTGGGGGGTGATTTCTCGCTTTCTGTCTGTCTGTCTCTGTCTGTCTGGCGAGCGCACGTGCCCTATAGCAAAAACCTCTCCAAAAAATAAAGTTGGATAAAACAAAATAATTCTTAAAAAAATTAAACAATGTAAAGCTACAGGGGGCCAGCAGGTGGTGCACTGGCTAAGGAGCTGGACTCCCACACGGCCGACTACGGTTTGAGTCCCAGAACTGGTGGCTTGCTTTCATTCTTTCTCTTTTGCTCTCTTCCTGGTGAGCGCATGTGTCCTATAGCAAATTTTTAAAATAATAACAAATAAAATTAAATAATTCTCCCCAAAAATAATTAAATAAAAGAAATTTTTTAATTTAATAACATTAAATTATACAAATTATGTTTACAGACAAAAAACAACAGGTCTAGTTAGAGAAAAATGTTATAATTTCTTCTTCTTAATATATTTGGTTTTAATAAAACCAAAAAGTTTTCTGATTTATACAATAAAAGAAGAGTATGAAAAACGCCACTTTTTTTTTCTTGGAGAGGTTTTTGCTATAGGGCGCATGCACTCGCCATAAAGACAGAGAGAGAGAGAGAGACAGAAAGCGAGAAATCATCCCCGGGGGGATGGCCACGCCACAATCCCTTCTCCTCCATTCTCCTCTCGGGATCTTGGGCACGCACACACATGCGCCCGGCGTGAGTTTAAGCCACTGGGTCCGGGACTCGAAAGGCAGTCAACTATATGGGAGTCCAGCGACATAGCCATTACGCCATCTGCTGGTTCCGCCACTTCTGAAAATGAAATGAATTTCCATGCTGCACGTCTCCCCTCTTGACTGGCCCTCTAGTCTCTGTCCTCACTGCTGACCCCTAGGGTGGAGATGAACGCCTGGCACAGACCACATGCTCAATAAGCTCTGCTGAACGAATTGCTGAGACCACAGAACCCTGAATGACTGGCCCAGTCCTGTGACCTAGTGGTCAGGGGAGCCAGGCCCCACATGGCCAACTACGCAGCTGGAACTCTGGTCCAGCGTCTTGGAAGACACACCAGGTTGAGGCCAGCAGGTAGTGTGGTGGTTCAGGACACTGGACTCCCACATGGCCGACCATGGTTTGAGTCCTGGATGTGGTAGCTATTTTTCTTACTTTCCCTCTCTCTCTCTCACTCTGTCCCTCTCTGATCAAATGAAAATAAATAAAGTTAAATAAAATAACTCTTAAAAGAAAAAAAAAGAAAAGAAAAGAAAAGAAAAACACACTGGGCAGGTACCAGCCAGTGGCATGGTAGTTAGGTCACTGGATCTCGCATGGCCAACTGCGCAGTTCCCAGACTGGCAACTTGAAAAATGCACTGGGCACATGTGTGTATCTACCCAAAACTCCAAGAGAATGAAAGAGAAGGGACTACAGTGTGGCTATTCCCCTGGGGACCCTATCTTATTTTCCTCTCTCTCTCTCTCTCTCTCTCTCTCTCTCTCTGGTGAGCACATACACCTGGTTACGAACAAACAAACAAAAACACACCAGGCATGTGTATATGTCCCAAATCCCACCAGGATGGAGAAAAAATTGCAATGTGATCAAGCCCCAATGAGGGTATTTATCGAATTTTCCCTCTTTCTCTCTGGTTTGCAAGCATATTTTCCTCTCTCTCTCTCTCTCTCTCTCTCTCTCTCTCTGGTGAGCACATACACCTGGTTACGAACAAACAAACAAAAACACACCAGGCATGTGTATATGTCCCAAATCCCACCAGGATGGAGAAAAAATTGCAATGTGATCAAGCCCCAATGAGGGTATTTATCGAATTTTCCCTCTTTCTCTCTGGTTTGCAAGCATATGTACCCTCTGACAAAAAAAAAAAAAAAAAAAAAAAAAAAAAACTGTATCATTAAAATAGAATTATACAGGGGTCAACAGGTAGCACGGTAGTTAAGGCACTGGATTCTCACATTCCTGACCAGGGTTCAAGCCCCAGACCTAGAGGCTTGCTTTCTCACTCTCTCTCTGTCTCTCCATGGTGAGTGCAAGAGCCCTATAACAAATTTTAAAATAATAATAAAATAAAATAATTCTTTTTTTAAAAAAAAGAATCATACAAAAAATATACCACCATTTTAGCTAGCCGTTACCCACTAAACACAGTTTCCCACCCGGAAGAAAAGTTTAAGAAATATCAAACTGGGATTATAAATATTGCTTAAAAAATAAAAGTCTATACTTACAAGTGGTTAAATATTCCCAGAATAACTCCAAAAGTCATGTGGATAATTCCCAAGATCACAGACAGTTTCATTTTGAAAGAGTTTAGAAAAGTCAGGCGATTGGTGGCCAAGTTCCAGATCTAAACATAAAACAAAACAAGTCTCTAGCTTCCCTCAACAGGCGACACTCAAGAAAGTTCTTGTCTTAAATCAAAAGGCAGCTCCCAAGTTAAAGGAGAACCTGTATTCAGACTTCTCTCTCAGCCTGAGAGTCATGGACCAGACTGTTAGGACGACAGAAGCTCTTGACGCCAGAGACAACAGGGTATCTAGGGAAGCCGGTTCAGGGAGTAACACCCAAAAGGAAAGCGAGCGAGAGAGAACTGCCAAGTCCAGAGAGTAGGGGTTCCCAGACTGACAGGTCAGACAGGTGGACAAAGTGGAGCCCAGCCTCCCCCGTACACTGTCGTGATGGGGAACCATGAGATGGTGGCACCCAGCCAGCAACCACGGGACACCTCCCTCCCGCCCGAACATAGAACTGAGCTAAGGAGTCCAGAAAACCCTGGGACGGTTCAACCTGGGTGGGCCCTAGAGCAGCCAGAGCCGAGGGTGCTGGGACAGTGGGGGCCAGGGCACTCACAGGGTCAACACCGGGAGGACAGGGGCCTCGAACACCCCAGGGACGCTGGGACAGTGGGGGCTGGTGCACTCACAGGATCAATACCAAGAGGATAGGGGCCTCGGAACACCCCAGGGACGCTGGGGTCCAGCTGCAGAACCTGGCTGTGCCGCACCACGCTGTCACTGTGGGGAGAAGGCCAGGGGCTCACTGAAGGGACGGGGAGGACCCTTGGCAGACGCCTGCCCCCCGATGCAGCGCCCGGCCCTGGTCATTACTTCCAAAGTGTCATCCTCTGACGCTCTTTCGGGGAGTGACTGGAGCTGTACATGGCAGACACGTTCCACCGTGAGCCAAAAAGGTTCAGGGACTTGGAGAAGCAGTCATTGTAGATGAGGCCCGTGTACACGGAGAACAGACCCATCAGCAGGAGGAGGTACCGGCCGTTGAAGAACATCCTCAGGATCTGTGAGCAGAGCACACGCCCCAGGCCGTTAATGGGAAATGGGCTGGGGACAGACCAGAGTCCGGGCCTGGTCCCCCACCCACCGCTGTGCTGAGGGAGTCTCAGAAAACGTCCTGAGCTCACAGACCCCGCTGGGGTGCCCTCGCTGTCTCTCGGCCTCTCCCACCCTCTCGCACTCCGGGAGAAGGAAATGAGTAAACTCTACGGAAGTGAGATGAGGACACACGGACATGCTGGGATGCGGGGACCAGGCGAGACCGGGGTGCTGGGCAGTTTTGCCCAGGAAGAGGCGACAGGCTGCAGTCTCTGACATGCGTGGCATGTCACAGTTAGCGTCCCACAGACACCTCTGCTGGGTCACTACTGCCAGCCAGGAAGAGAAGCTGCAGCGTTCCCGTGTTTACCTCCTGTGACCGACTCAGTCTGGGGTGATCCTCGTTTAGCACCAACAAGAGGGCAAATAAGAACATCACGAAGCCATGGCCGAAGTCTCCGAACATCACAGCGAACAGAAACGGGAACGTGATGATGGTGAAGAGAGCTGGGGGAGCGGCACAAGACCCCATCAGGGCACACGTGGGAACAGCAGCAGTTTGCACACGGCCCGCAGCACGCCGGGGCTTTCTCCCAGCCCCACGGGAGAGCTAGCTGTGTGGTCACACTTCACGCTGCCGGCCAGCCAAGGCAGCCCACGGCCCGAAGGTTGGCACGGGCTCCCAGGGAGGAGCAGCAGCGACACGCACACCGCGGGCGCGAGGACTGACCTGGGTTCACCTCCCTGTAGCTGCCGACCCCATAGGCGTCCACGATGTTCTGAAAGCCCTCGGTGAACTTGTTGGTGCGGATCAGAGTTGGGGGCGTCTCTTTAGTGGGGATCGTGTTCATAAAGGAAGGGATCGCAGTGCTGCTCTCTCTCTTCCACGTGAGAAAGAATAAGGAAGGACATTACCACCCAGGAGAAATGCCCCATCAACACGCCGCAGTCGGGGTGACCTGGTCAGCGTGGACTCTGCACCTGGTCACAGGGAAGAGCTGACCACCTGGGCAGTCCAAGGACAGTCAAGGCGGCAGACAGAAAAGGGAGGGGAGGGTTGTGGTCACCAAGAGAGCCCCTCTCTCTGCCCAGCTCCCTCTCTCTGCCTGGCTCCCTCTCTGCCAGGCTCCTTCTCTGCCAGGCTCCCTCTCTCTGCCAGGCTCTCTCTCTCTGCTCCCTCTCTCTGCCGGCTCCCTCTCTCTCCCTCTCTCTGCTCCCTCTCTCTCCCCCGCCCTCCCGGCTCCGCCCCGCTCCCTCCCTCTGCTCCCTCTCTCTGCCGGCTCCCTCTCTCTGCTCCCTCTCTCTGCTGGCTGCAGCTCCCTCTGGGCTCCCTCTCTCTCTGCCGGCTGCTGCTCCCTCTCTCTGCTGGCTACAGCTCCTTCTGGGCTCCCTCTCTCTGCTTGCCTCTCGGTGCTGAGTGCATACACTCTTGGGCAATTTAAATAAACAAATGGCTGGAAAATACTTAGGGAAAAAAAAAAGGAAATGGTCAAGGAAGAATTTAGAGGCAACTACAGAATCACCTAAGAAAAAAAGAAACCAAAGGGTCAACATTAATTGTATCTGAATGGCAAAATCACACGCTTTTCAGTGTTTACAGTTCTTCAGAAAAGCAGATAGTAATTTATGATGAAAAAAGAAATCAGTCCACTGCCCACAAAGATTTCCAGTCTCTATATCTAGATATATACACATACTTTTTTTGAGAGATTTTTACTATAGGGCTCACGCACTTACTGAAGAGACAGAGAGACAGAAAGCGAGAAATCACGGGGTCAGGGGGAGGTGTGGGGAGAGGGATGGTCACGCTGCAATCCCTTATCCTCCATTCTCCTCTTGGGATCTTAGGCACACATGCACACATGCCTGACGTGAGTTTAAGTAGCCAGGTCCAAGACTCAAACCATGGTCAACTACGTGGGAGTCCAGCAAAGTAACCAGTACGCCATCTGCTGGTTCCAAAAATTTTTTTAATTTTTTTAAAATAAAGAGCAGCCTGGATCATGTCTGAAATGCATACTGCAACCTTAGGAGTCAGAAGGCAGCCAGTGAGCACGTACACACATGCACATGTACTCACATGGGCACATACACGTGTACACATACATGTGCACGTCTACACACATAAGTACATGTGTGTGCACATATACACACCCACATGTGCACGTGTGCACATGTATATGCATCACACATAGTAAAGTCAAGTCCCTCAAAACTGACACTCCCTCAATAAATAAGAACCATCCTTATTCATCTTCACGACGACGGCTCGGACTCTCACACAGGCCCTACGTGTCCCCTGCAGCTTTCCCCCTCTGTCTGGGTGTCTGGCACCGCGCTGTCGCAGACGTTACGTTTTATATCTGTGTCATCACAGAAACGTGCAAGGAGACCGGGTGACTGACAACAGCCTCTACGGCCCATCAGACAAGGAAGCTCTTTCCGTGGGGCGACCTGGGATTCGCTGCAAAATGAAACCTACAGGAGCATGGGAGGGGTGCTCCGTAGCCTCAGAGTGGGAAAGGCCTCCCTCTCAGAACCCAGATGCCGCAGCCACAGACAGACAAGTGGACTACGCTGGACCAGAACAAATACCCACAAATGCCGCAGGTCCAAAGCCAAGCACCGGACTCGGGAAAAAAGGCTTACATCACAGATAAGGAGCCAACAGACATTGGCAAGAAAAAGACCGGCAACCCCCTAGAAAATAGCAAAGAGTACAGACAGACAACTCGCACACACTCAGAGGTTCTCAAACAGACGGACGACGAGGAAAACGCAGCGGCTGGCAACTCCTACCAGAACTGATCCAGTAGCGTCACGTCAGGGAGTCTACTCACCAGCCCGACCAGCACACAGAGACACAGGGCGCGTGTCACTCACTGCGACAGTCTTTGTAAAACTGAAAACGAGCTCAGCCTCGGCACAGGCAGGAGTGCACTGAGCTGCCGTGCTGGAAGCCACAGGCCGGCCATGGATCCGGCCCCGAGGCGACCGGAAACACCTGGGCCGGGTGCACTGGTCAAGATCCTGACTAGCCAGAAGGACTGGGACAGGGACTGGGGCGTGACCTAGCCCCGTGGAGGGAGCGTGTGTGTGTCTCTCATGTGCAAGCACACACTCTATCATGGGTCTGAAATGCCTGTAAACACGCCCATCTTCCAGTGACTCGCTCGCCACAATCTCAGCTCAAACAGAGAGCAGTACAGAGCCCCTCTGCGTCCCAGCACCCTCCCTTATCCTTACTGCCTGAGCTGCTCGCTCAGGCCTGCCTCGACCCAGGCAGGGCAAGCTGGTGCCTTACCGAGCCCTCCTCCAGCGCCTGGCGCAGGTGGTGCAGGTCGGCCTCGGGACACCAGACCTCGGCAATGAGGCACTTGTTGGTCACGTCAAAGCTGCACATGTTCAGCATGTGGTAGATGGCCTTCATCTTCCTCACCTGCACCACGCGGCTGCACACGGACTCGGCGGCCTTGCACAGCACCTGCCGTAGGTAGTCCTCCGTCTTGTGCAGCACCTGGGGAGACAGACGCAGCTCAGTACAGCAGTTTCCCGGCCTGTCTACCAGGCACTTGACGTCCTTTTGGGGAGTTTCTCCCCACCGACAGAGGATTGCTTCCCACGATGGTAGTGAAGGGAGCCGCTCATTCTGAGGCCCCACCGGCTGCACACGGACTCGGTGGCCTTCCCCCCCCCCTGCCGTAGGTAGTCCTCCGTCTTGTGCAGCACCTGGGGAGACAGACGCAGCTCAGTACAGCAGTTTCCCGGCCTTTCTACCAGGCACTTGACGTCCTTTTGGGGAGTTTCTCCCCACCGACAGAGGATTGCTTCCCACGATGGTAGTGAAGGGAGCCGCTCATTCTGAGGCCCCACCCCCAGAACCCCCAGGAGGCAGACAGAAAATCCCCAATCACATGCCTCTCTCAGGAGGCTCCTAGGGCATACGACGCTCCCCCAGGACACAGGAAATGGTCAGAGGCCATCATCACTGTGCAGCATGAGAGCCCACCTGGGAGCTCGCTGGCTCTCACTTGTCCCCAAGGCTGGCCCAGCCCCATCAGCCCTGGGAGCCACCGGCTCTGCCCCACCCCACCCTGCAGAGAAATCCCCTTCTGCTCTAGTGTGCTGCTTCCGGCCACATGCCACCAAAACCTGCGCTGACGTCGGAGAGATGGGAATCAAAACAGTGCAGGTGAAACCATGCCTGCCACTGCACACAGGGCTGCTTATCTTCTTACCAGAAGAAGTTCATGAACGAACAAGGAGGGAAGAAGATGGAATTGCAAATGTCCGACAACACTCAGATCAGGAGGCAGCGCTCCTGGGTACGCACAGTGTAAAGATCCTGGATCCGGGTGTTCAGGCCCTCCTGGATCTCCCTGCGCTCCTCGGCTGTGTTCGGATAGGGGTAGACGTGGCAGTGGTAACTAGAACACAGAACCAGACACAGCCTCAGGTCTGCAGGAGGGAAAGGGCCTGCTCCTGACATAGGACCAGACTCAGCTCACCGCCCGACAGCTCCCCTTCCAAAGCAGGAAAAGACAGCCCTCTGAGAAAAGGGTGTGGACGTGGGCCCTGCCCGTGCCGAGGCCTTGCACACACACGGCGAACATCTGTGGATTCAGTGTGCTGAGCTGGGTGGAGCGTTTCTCCTCCACGTTAAAACAAATATATCTCTACTAGAAGAGAGTAAGGATCATCAAGTGATATGTAAAATTACTTCCTATTAACAAATGTTTGAGCGCAAACACCGGTAGAGAGAAACACCCAAGCCCTAGTCCTACCCTGCAGGAAGCCAGGCAATCTACAAACCGCCTTGGCGTAAGCAAACGAAGGGGCCCTCCCTATTTGGAGCCTCATTTGCTGACAAGAACAGGCCACTGACAGCCCTTGCTGCAGCAGCTCGACACTGACCAATGCAGACGCTGCCCTGAGGCCTCGCACCCATGTCATCGCATTTACTGCCAATGGCCCTGAGAGACGAACTACTCTCTCCTCTTGGAGGTGAGGAAACCGAGTCTCGGTCACTTGCCTGAGTGAGCCTGGTGAGCAGTGTGACAGGGAGGCTCTGCACTCAGGCAGCCACCCAGAGTGTCCTTGGCCCCACCCGCCACCCCGATCTGTGAGCACAGGAGAAAACTGCTGAGGGGCCCACGCCAGAGGCTCAGTGCTCAGAAGTGACGGGGAGCCAGCCTGGCTGGTGGTGAAACCAGGAGGAAGACGCAACGTGATCCCTCTTCAACTGCTCTGAAACCTCGAGTCCTCAGGAAAACACACAAACCTGGGATGTTAACTTGGTCTCAGGCCAGCCCCAGAGCCTAGTGGTTAAGTGAGCTGGGGCCCACATGGTTTGAATCCCAGCCCTGGAGGCTTGGAAGACCTGACAAGAACAGGCCACTGACAGCCCTTGCTGCAGCAGCTCGACACTGACCAATGCAGACGCTGCCCTGAGGCCTCGCACCCATGTCATCGCATTTACTGCCAATGGCCCTGAGAGACGAACTACTCTCTCCTCTTGGAGGTGAGGAAACCGAGTCTCGGTCACTTGCCTGAGTGAGCCTGGTGAGCAGTGTGACAGGGAGGCTCTGCACTCAGGCAGCCACCCAGAGTGTCCTTGGCCCCACCCGCCACCCCGATCTGTGAGCACAGGAGAAAACTGCTGAGGGGCCCACGCCAGAGGCTCAGTGCTCAGAAGTGACGGGGAGCCAGCCTGGCTGGTGGTGAAACCAGGAGGAAGACGCAACGTGATCCCTCTTCAACTGCTCTGAAACCTCGAGTCCTCAGGAAAACACACAAACCTGGGATGTTAACTTGGTCTCAGGCCAGCCCCAGAGCCTAGTGGTTAAGTGAGCTGGGGCCCACATGGTTTGAATCCCAGCCCTGGAGGCTTGGAAGACACACTGGGTGTGTGTGCGTGCATGTCCAAATCCCAACAGGGTGAAGAAAGGGACGAGAAGGGGCTGCAGGGTGACCATGCCCCTCGGGGTGCTCTCTCCCGCTCCCACTTACTCTGTTTTTCTCTGGTGAGAGTACACGCTCTACAGCAAACTTTTAAATAATAATAATAAATAAAATTAAATAAATATCTCTAAAAAAAAGGAACTTGGAACTACAGCAAAGAAACCACGTAACAGAACCAGCCGTCTCTGCACCCACGTCTCTGACTAGAGGGTCCTGAACAGAAAGGAAGGACGTGGAAGCCCTCTGCTTACCAGTCACAGATCTTCTTCACCTTGTGGCCGATCTGCTCTCCCCAGAAGGATATGAGAAACACACACCACTTCATGACTTCCCCCTGCCAGGGACAGGGAAGGGCGGCTGGTGCTCGTCTGGGTGCAGCCTGGACACGCTGGCCACACCGCCAGGGGCCACTCGTTCACTCGGCCAACAGCCGGACCTCGTGACTGGGAGGTTCTGACCGCAGAGCTGTCTACTTGCTAACGTGGCCCCAAATCGAACTTGTAGCACTGTCGTGGCCGTGAGCAGAGTGCGGAAACACTCAGCATCCACGCCCGTGCTCCCAGAGAGGGCCGAGGCTGTGCTGTCCCTCGCGTTTCAGGTATTTCACGTGCACGAGGGACCATGCGTCACCTGACGGCACGCACAACCACCACTCCCATATGCCTGCCAAGACGCAGGCCCCCACACGGGGTTCAGGGAAACGGTCCTCATCCTGCCCCTCCAGCTCTGCTGTGAGTCTGCCACTGTTAGAAAGGGGTCACGAGCCAGCAGGGAGCCTGGGGGTTCAGGTGCTGGGTCCCACATGGCCAACTGCACGGCTGGAGTCTTGGACTCAGTGGCTGGAGAAACACACCAGGCATGTGGGCATGTGTGCCAAAACTCCAAAAGGAGAACGGAGAAAAGGCTGTGGCGTGACCATTCCCCCAGGGGTTCTCTCTCTCTCTCTCTCTCTGTCTGTCTAAGTCTCTCTGTTGAGTGTACACACCTTCTGGCATAATTTTAAATACTAAAAGGAGGGGGGACCATGATGTTTACTCACTGTCTCGGGGTCTTCGAGGGACTCGTCCAGTTCGGCGTAGGTCACGATGGTGTACCCCTTGCAGGCCCTCCACAGCATTCTTTCAAAAGCTTCAACCTTCCCTTGGCTAATCAGGCCAGACACAAACCTAGGAGACAAGACCGACGTCAGAGCAACAGCTGCTCTCAAACTGCATTAAGAGGATGGTGACTCCCACCAAAGGTGAAGAACGCTGAAAGCCAGACTGCCAAGATCTCGAGTGCCGGGTACAATGGCGTTGAAACGTCTCTGTAAACGGACAGCCGAGCCTATGATAGGAAATCTTTGGAATCAAAACACAATGAGACAGGCCGTCGCGGCTGGACTGATGCCTGTACTGACCTAGGACCATGAGGTCAGGAGCTAGCGGCAGCACGGGAGACAGGAGACAGAACTGAATGCCCGCAAGCTGGGGCATCCCCTCTCCCAGAGGCTGTACCTTGAGTGGACTAGAAAATAATCTACCTTGGAAGGCTGGCCCTATGGCCCTGTGACTAAGGGAGCTGGGTCCCAAGTGGCCAACTGTGCAGTTTAAATCTGGCCCCAGCCACTTGAAAAACACGCCAGGTGCATGCGTGCAAGCCCAAAATCCAAACAGGATGGAAGAATGGGGGAGAAGGGGTTGTGGTGTGACCACGCCCCATTGGGAGGGGCCTTCTTCCCCTCCTCTATCCCCCTGGCAAATGCGCGTGCTCTCTGACAGAATTTTAACAAGAAAAAGAACAGGGAAAAGAAGAACCACCCCACAAAGGAACCTACCCATAAATTTGTTCATTTCGGTTTGGGATCTGATGGAGGGGGAAGTTTTCTGAGAATTTATGACTACAAGTTAAAATTCACTCGGATTCATGGCTTAAATTCAGATCACTGACATGGTCAATAAAAGAACCAAGAAACAACAACTCCAACGCTTCTTTGAGAAACAAAACCAAAAAGATCTTGTGCTGAGAAAAAATTGCTAACGATTCCAGGTAGGCAGCGTGCACCCCACACCTGACGGATATAAAAGCTAATTCTCTCCAGAGGGCGGCCAGATAGTAGGGTGTCAATGATGCATCTGGACCCCGAGACCTCCCTGTACACACGTGCCCACCCTCACGGACAAGGTCCAGACTGGCTGAGGCTGAGGCGGGTCATGGCCTGAGGATACTGTTAGAGGTGCCGGCCTGCCTCCCTCT